CTCTAAATGCTTCAAGCCGGACGAGCTCTGCATGCTCTATAGCTATAGCTCCAACTCCCAAAAAAAGCAACCTAAACACCACCCTATGACTCTTTCAGGAAGTCCTATAAGCCCCGTGGAGCCCCTAGACATCCTCGAGGTTTCGATTATCAACAGCACACCCCATAAGAATAAAAGCAAACCCCCCAGGCAGTCTTGAAAAGCCCCGGACTTCGCCTCCTGCGCCGCTTGGATCTGCTGCACATCCTCGGAGCTGCGCTTCGTTTGCTCTGCTGGGCTTCACAAGACTGGGACTTAATGGAAACTCCAACACGATCACCTCCTGCACCAAGAAACGCCTGGAAGCCCAGGATACAGGGGCCGCGGGTTCAGGAGGCGTGAAATAACGACGAGGTTCTTGCAGATGCTGTGCGAAGCCGCTGCTGTCGCCACCGAAGTGTTTGTGACCCCAGGCGACCACCGAACCGTCACCATAAAGAGCCGCAAAGGCCTGGCATGTAGGGCACTCTGCCAGTTGCGGGGCTCGGGCTAGGCATTTACTCTGATTTTCTTTACGAGGTCTGATTGCCACAGATACTGAAAGTCGCAGTAGACAGTAGACCCCGAAGACAGAACCCCTATTAGGATACCTATAACCTGATACTCGCGAAGTCCCATGACCCTCCAAGCAAGCTTTCTCCCCCTCCCTGTCAACCGCAAGCACGAAACCAACAGCGCAAAATCCTCGGGCTCCGAACTTAGATGCCCGAAGCCCGAAACACGGCTGAACCCTTCCACATCCGCAGGGGTTGTAAGTAACCCTAGTTACTAAGTTCCATGATCCTTTAAGCGGTGTCAACCCCGCAGAGCCCTCTCCACAGACTGCGAACCCGACCTAACTATCTGAAATTGTCTGCATCCCTGATCTCGACTTGGGTTGCGAGCAAGCTGCCACTTGGGAGTTTCCGAAAATTGGGGGTACCTGATTTTGGGAACCTTGCAAAACCAGGATAATACTGTTAGGGGTACTACATTAGGGTCCCCTATTTTCGGAAACTCCCACTTGAGGGAGTGCAGGAATCATCCAGCCTGATAGGCCGCTGACACATTCTTATCATGCTTAAAGGATCAGGGGACTTAGTATAGTAACCACACGTACGCTTGCTTGTAGTCCCAGTTAAGGTCCTTATTGCCTCACTCTTATCCTTTTACAGAAAGTCAATGCGCACCCCCACACTCTACACTTCTAATCCTGGAGTCCTGAAGGACACCAAACCCTAAACCCTAAACCCCGAAACCCTAAACCCTAAACCCTAAAATCTTAAGTCCAAGTGCCCCTCTGAACCCTAGACCCCCTGGAATCCTAAGCATGTTGCCTAAACCGAGAATTTCAAGAGGAGAAGCCTTGGAGGTCGCAGCTATCTGGACCGGTCCCTTCTGAAAGGTGAGCACATCCTTAAGGCACGAAGTTGCTGCTCAGGATGCGTTCGTTTATGGTCTTTATGCTTGCTTGGGGTTTCGGCTTTGGGATAAGGGTTTAGCCGTGCGTGTGGTTTGTGTTTCCTGGTGGCTATGCAGTCCTCAGGATGATCGATACCCTGTTTCTTCAGGCAGATGATTCACCCCTAGACTTCAATGTGGGTAGTTATCTAAATTAGAGTACCTTCTAAAATCGACCCGAAACGGTACCCCAATTTAGGCAATTGCCCACGTAAGATTCGGAACCTGAGACGTCCCAGAGCCTCCAAAACCCCTTAATTCAGGACTATACCTTAAATCATATTAGGGATCCTATTATACTTTAAGGTATATTCCTTGATTAAGGGGTTTTGGAGGCTCTGGGTTCAGACTTGGAGAGCTCAGTCTCGAAGGTGTCCACGAGCCCGCGCTCGATTTTGAATTTGGGTACTGCCATACCTCGCTTAATTACGGCTAAGGCCTTTCAACCACCGCAATCAACAAGAGCAGAAGACAGGTGTCATCGGCTTTTTCAACAACTCCAGCAACAACCTCGTACAGAAACAAACTCGTATCAATGCCCAGTTTTAGAGGTCCATGAAACGTCTTTAACGTGGATTCTACGAACTTTCCGCTGGGAAATCCCGGCTCAGACCAAACAACTGCAAAAGCCTACGTACATCCCAAATCCGAAAAGCTAGATCCTCGACTCTACTTAGAGGCCCAGGAAACTTAGTAAGTAGGTTATAAGTAGGGTTATAAGTATCCTAAAATGGAGCCAGCCCAAATTATAACCCTACTTATAACCGACTTACTAAGTCCCCTGGGCCTCTAAGTACGGGACGTTTGAGCCGAGTGGCCGCCTCCTGCAGCCCTGCAGCGGCAACGGAGCCCGCGCCGCGGAGCAAGGCGCCCGCAGGACCTAAGCAAAGTTGAGGGTTTAGGGTTTAGGGTTTGAGGGTGAGGTAGCTTTTGTAAAAGGTCGGCTTCAGAATCTCGGGCTTGGGTTTAAGGGGGGCTTCCTAAGGCGGCTTTCTGGCTTTTTTGGCCTTCGGAATGGAACGCCGAGAGATTCGCTTTATCAGGATGTCATCATATCTTGTACACTCCGGCAACGGGCTTCAAAAGGGGCACAGGGATTAAGAGGGCCTCGCGGTTTAGGATTTCTGGGTTGAAGATTTGATGTAGGGGCCTTACGAGTAAGAATCCAGGATTCACGGCGCAGGGTTGACGTCCCTTACATCATTACTGTCACAAATCACCGAGCCCTCCACTAACCTTCGACCGTGTTCTCGAACTCGTGCGGGTGGCTGGGAAGTTGTCGGATTCAAAGCTTTAAACCTTTAAAGACCCCAACCCCTAAACCCCTAAACCCTCAAGTTCAGGGCTTTGAGGGTCTCTTTTCCCTCCCATGCCGGACCAGTTGCTCAAAAGCTTCCCAGGGCCACTTCCCAGAAGGCTCCGCGCTCTCTTCCTGCACGGCTCGAAAGATCCCCAAGCATTAGGGCTTAGGGGTTTTAGGGTTTTAGGGGTTAGGGGTTTTGGGGCTTTAGGGTTTAGGGTTTTGAGGGTTTAGGGGTTTGGGGGTCTTGGGGTTAGGGTGTAGGGTTTAGGAGTTTAGGGATAAATGAATGTACCGCAATATACACAAGTACGAAAAGCAGATGATCAGGCACCATCGAAGTCGAAACCCGTGCGCCTGAGATGGTCTAACGACCACTCCGGCTCGGCGTCCAGCCGGGCTCGCTTTCCACTCCTCGGCTGTCACATTTCGGGCAATGTAGTGTTGGGGGCCGTGATACTTAGAACAGAATTGGGGTATATTGCACTATAGAATCATAGTAGGGAACCCCAAAAACCTTGTAAGAAATCTATTAGGTGTGGCTTTGGGTTTAGAATATGAGTGTTTAGGGTTAAGGGGTTCTACTGACCTGTGTGGCCGGGATGCAGATTCAAAATACACATCATCACATCCCCAACCAAACCGGAACTCCAATCACGTGAAATGTTGATCGTTAGTACAGTATCGTGACTGATATCACTGGTAGCACTTTTACTGGGATTACTATTGCTAGTATTCTGCTTACTTTTATGAAGAAAGGGGAGACCTGCCACCAAACTCCAACACAGGAAAAATCCGTGGCACTTGTGACCAAAGCCGTAGACATGGACTGAACCTTTTTCAAAGAATTCCGACCCGGCAAACGGCCCTTTAAAGAGCCGTTGTAAGAGTCTTGTGCACCATCCCACCAACCCAACTGATAACAGCGGACAGCTTTTAGACACAATGAACAACAGCAGACGAAAACACTTAGGACAAACACCTGTTGTGTCGGTAAACACCGGGAAAAGCCTAAACGATTTTAGGTCATCGAATGATTTGCAGATGTATGGAGACAAAGCATTGGCGCATGCACGGTTTAACTCCTAGAGTTGAGGGGAGGGCCGGGTGATGGTCGGTTGCTGAACTGCGGTCCATCGAAAGCAAACCCCCACACTTCCACATCATGAGTCCTACTATTTTGGGGTTATAGGCCCAGGGTTTCTGTAACCCTAAACCCTAAACCCTACACCCTAAACCCTAAACCCTAAACCTTAAACCCTAAACCCTAAACCCTAAACCCCAAACGGATCAGGGGGTGTTCTTAGCACCGAGGCTCAGGAGGGCCACTTCCAGGTGCAGCGGCATTGCGTCACGGAGTGACGGAGGGCCGAAATCAGGATATTGGCATAGGGTTTAGGGGGTAGGGTTTAGGGTTTAGGGTTTAGGGGGCAGGGTTGCTGTAAGGGCTCTATCTTAGATACTAATAAGGGTACTATAGGGTTTACGGTTCCATAATAGATGCTATGAGGGTACTACGTACAGGGTTTAGGGGGTGGCTTATCGGCCGGCTTCGGCTGCCGGCAAGTTTTGTCTTAGTCTACAGCATCTCGAGGGGTACACTTCGTCACTTTCGGCTTCATACTGGCCCTGACCCTAAGGGTCCATGTACTCATATAGTATGTACATTAGCCTTAATGTAGTCCCTATATAGGTACTTTGGGGCCCATGTACCTCTATATGGGTACATGGACCCTTAGGGTGATTTTGACTTGGGGCAGTTGCTTTGTCGCTCGCGGCCAGTAGACTGTATGTTCTGGCCCCGTATTGAGATTTCATGCAGAGATGTCCTCGTCTACCGACTCGACTCTCTGGACACAGGGCCTTGAACATGCAGCATCGACTGCACACCGTATACCCCTCAATACTACCTCATTCAGGCTCCAGGTTGATAGCACAGCACTGGGAAAGCCCCATGCTTCCCCTGCACATAACAGCTTGGCTTGAATAGACAAAGCCCTGAAAGACCAAAACCATTGCCGTCGGCAAAATGGCGAACCACCTAGACCCTACACCTTACTTATCTGCTGCACGAAACTTCTAAACTCTGCACCAAACTCTGCATCCTGTCACCGATAGCTAAGTCTTACACTCTAAGCCCTAAAAGCCCTAAACCCTAAGCCCTACAAACTGAGCTTGTTCGGATTCACCGCGTCTGACCTCTAAACTCCGAGGCATCGACCTCGCAGGAGAACTCTCGTGCCCCGCATCCGTCCAGGCCGGTGGCCTTAGAAAGCGACAATTTATTTGGCGTTTGGGTTCCACTAAAGGGTTCCTTAGAAAGGGCTCTGTAAGGGATCTCTAGTAAGGTTCTTTAGTGTAGGGGCCTTAAAAATAATTAGAATAGGGGTTGGGGGTTTATTATACTATAACCATAATAAGGAGCGCCCACCATCTTATATCTATGGTAAGCCTTCAATGGTGTAAGAGCCGCACACTGTAGGGTTTAAGAACCCCGAAGCTACCCTAGATTTCTCACACGCTCAGAATCCGGCACGTGGACGTCAGCCAGCATGGACAAAGGCCAACCTCAGTCTACTAACTTACCGCTGGTTAGTAGGGAATGGAAGGGGCCTTATAAAGGGGGCTACCAGGGTTACTATAAGGGATCTAAAAGGGCACTATAATATAGGGGCCTTATCTTACAGTATGGCTTCCCTTTGGTTAGTAGGGAATGGAATAATGGTAGTAATAGTAATACAATAATTGTACCCTATTCCTCCAACGGTAAGCTAATTTATCAGGAGAGCCCATGGCATCGCCTAGTCACGGAGTGTTCCTTGAATTCTCCGGGCTTCTCATTTTGATTTCAGGCATATGCTTTTAAGTTTTGGGGGAAGTGTAGTATAATCTAGCAGGGGTCTAGATGAAGCCCAATAACGTTCCGAAACTCTGCTTTGGGAGCTAAACTTTCTCAAGGATGTATAAACGTCACAGGTTGACTTATTTTTTGCACGGTTAAACTGATTCAGAGAAGCTTTTGGTTTAGAGCTTCGAAGGGCTCGAAGAAAGACAAGGAGGCCAGTAATGTAGGGGCCTTAATAATTCGAAGAGGGTTTTGGGGCCCAGTATACTACAGCTATAAAAGGGACACCCACAAAAAACACAACAACAAGTGTATAGGTACTTCTTGAGGCCCCTATATTATCGATGCTCCCTTCAAGTCCTTGTGCCAGCTTCGAGAGATTTGGAGTCTTGCGTCGAGGGCCTCAACTGCTGCTTCATCGTGGAGCGTTTGAGAGCAAGATTTGGGGACGGAACACCGCAAGTATGCAAACTCCAAACCATATCCTAACCACTGTTGATGATATAAATCCTGCATTACCTTGAGGACCCTAAACTATGGGAAAAATGATCTTTTCCTACTTACGGGTAATGCAGGATTTATCTCATCAACCGTTATATTCCCTATCATGGGTAATGCTGCATTTATCCCATCAGCCGTATGTAGTCATAGGGGCCGAGGGGCCGCCAGAAGCACGAGCGCACATGACGCACGCGGCATGCAGCGGCTACGCGTGAGGATGGGAGGCTTCTAGCTGGCAACCGTATATGGTTTTTGGCTTGGTGTAGATCCCCTAATTTGGGGATCTATACTACTATAAGGGTTCTTTATAGGAGCCCCCATTAAGGGATCTACTTCTTAGCTAGTGTGGGTCGTAAAGCCCCGGAGCTGCGACTGGCTTCACTTCGACCCTTCAACTTCAAGTCGAAAGCACCAACTCCGAAGCCCTAAACCTCCAAGCTGCAGACCTCATCACTGACTACTCAAAGGATCATGGTACTTAGTAACTAGAGTTATTGTTAGGGTAACTATACTTATAACCCCAATTAGGGTACTTATAACCTTACTTGCTAAGTCCCATGATCCTCCAAGTATCTTAAACCCTGCTAAACCTTGAACCCCGTATCCTATCAATGCCCTAAATGGGGCCCTGAACCAAAACCATGGCCAATGTTTGGATCAAAAATCCGGTTTGCCTCTGCGGATGGCTTAGGCTGAAAACACGGGGGATGTAACTAATACAGGGGCACCAAGAAGTTGGACAAAGTCAAAACTGTGAGCATTCAGCGGAAACGGTTTGGCGGTGTATGATGCTACTGGTATTGCTAATGGCTCAGACCTGACCAGCATTCTGCATGCCACTACTTGTGACGCAAGATGTCGGTAGCTAGTCAGTAGCTACTACTTCTTGCTCCTCCTCCATCAATCCTCAGCAAACTTAAACGCAGGATTTTCTCTCTAGCCAGGTATGTCGGGTGTTGATGGGGTTCACAGTTTAGGGCCAAGCATAGGTTGCTGTAGGGTGCTCTTTCCACTCATTGCCTTGTCTGCCTTTCATCCTCAGATGTTGAGCCGTGGAGTTACGCCTGAAGCTTCGTCTTATCTGGCGGTGCAAGGACGAACAAACTCGAACCCTATAATATAACAGGATCAACACCTAGGTTTGGTTATGCATCGGCAGGAGGCTAGAGGATAAAGTATTAGCGCGGGAGCCTTGGGTTTAGGGCTATGTGCTTCCCGATTGCAAGCCCAGCTACTTGCTCCGAAGAGCACACAAACACAAAACCAATTGGTGAGTTCGTGAGCCCGAACACTCTGCGCTCTGAACCCAAATCGTGTCAGAGTCGTGCAGCCTCGTACATGGAGTAGCAAGGTGCCAGCTGGTTGTTGGGGAGCTTCACCTGTCCACTTGCAGTACAGGAACACAGAGCTTTGCACGAATGAGCAATTTCCTCTGTTGACTTCAGCTGTCATAGCCGGTGCTACAGGCTGCGGTATCTGGAGAACTTGTCCTGCTCTTGCAGCAGAGCATACTATTCCAATCACTGCCGCCAAAATTTCTGCATCGGCTCACCACAACGATGAAAACTGCTAAGCCCCCGACTCTTAAATCCTAAAACACTACACCCTGATTAAAGGCTCAAATACGAGTCTTCGAAAATGTTTAGTCAAAGAGCCCCCGAGAGCTCAACCCAAATACTCCCTGAATTAAGAATATAGGGTGGTATAAAATGAAGGTTTCATCATATAACTTGGCAGCGGTAGTTACAGGTTTACAACCTCTCAGTTCAGGAACCTAAGGTTCCAACATAAACAAAAAAACCTGAGATCGTGTCGTGCTTAAGCTCAAAACCGCCAGTAAACATCTGGGTCCTTAAACCCCTCGGCCTCTTCTTAATAAGGACCCCTAGGTATGTACCCTTAATATAGCTACTATATACCCATTAAATAGCCCATGATAGGGTAGGGGTCCCCATTAAGGGTCCCTGTGTTGTTCGAGGTCCACTGGGGGCCTTCGGACTCCAAGAATGACTGCCGAGGTCACGAACTTTCCGAAGCCGAACATCTCAGAGCATGAAACGCTCGCTGCTAGGCTTTAGGGTTTAGATTAGGTACGGCCCCCACTCAGTAATAGTTGAATAATATTCATGATATAGATATAGTAGGACCTCAATAGTAGCCCTATTATAGACTCTTACTGTATGGGGGCCGTACCTAGGGGTTTAGAGTTTACAGCGGCTAGGGGTTCAGCGCGGAATGCTGACTGCAGGCTTTGGCCAGTCCAGGTAACCTGAGGCTCATCCCAAGAAGCCGAAAGCATGAAGTCAAAAACGAGCCCTAAACCGAAACCCTAAACCCTAAACCCATAAACCGAGACCATGAAGCCAAACACCACAGGACCCTGCGATGGTTGCAGCCGCGCCACAGACTGTGAGAGGATCTTTGCCTCTACCACCTCACGGCAAAAGTGGGCCTACAGTGGTTTAGCCTAACCCTAAAAAAAAGGGGGCCTTAATAATTAGAGTAGGGTTCCTGTTTAAGCAATGTCCTTTGAAGGGGTCTATAAGGGATCTATAGTGGTGGTCTATGATTTTGGGGCCTTAATAACTAGAATAGGGTTCTGGGACCCATTATACTATCAATATAATCAGGAACCACCAAAATAGTCTATGTATTTACCTAGGCCCCTATACTACAGTGGTTTGGCCTAACCCTACAAGGAGGATCATGGGACTTAGTAAGTCAGGTTATAAGTACCATACTTGGGGTTATAAGTATACTTACCGTCATAATAACCCTAGTTACTAAGTCCCATGATCCTTTAAGTAGACCCTAAACCTCATAGATCACTTTATAGATCCCATTTAAGGAACCCTTTAAGTTACTAAGTCCCATGATCCTTTGAGCACACTCGTTGAGTAAGGGTGGGGATCTGGTTTTCCCTTAGTCCAAAGATGCGAGGCCTTGGGACCCGGAGCACTAGTTTACAGGGGGGGGTTGGGGGGGGTTGGGGGGGGTTGGGGGGTGAAACCATAAACCTCTAAAGGGGTAGCTCTAACAGGTACCTACAGCAATGGCTGCATGCTCATACATATACATTCCGCTGCCCATTGGCTCACAGTGGTTTTACCATATTGAGACAAGACAAGCTCTCCTTGCGTAGCAAGACAAAACAACTACTGTCCGTGTGCAGGGCGCTGCCCTTTGATCCTTAGGGAATAACTGGTCATACACCTCCTTACAAGGAGTATCCCTTGGGGGTGTATCGGCACAGTTTTCTGGTAGCGGAGCCCGGAAAGGGCCGCCCGCCTCACAAAGTCCGCTACAGCGGTCGGCCTCGCCGAACGCTTAACCAAGCGGATAAGAGGCAGCACAATGTCGAGCTCGCATAGCGAAGCCGACGGCAGTTCCCAATCCTCCGGGGGATATGAGAACGAAGAGACCTCCCAAGGTCCAGCTACTTATGTCGCACAGTCATATGCAACATCTGACCGCATGCTTGCATCATTAGGCATAACGCCCAAGATCGCGCCTGCCTATGATGGCACCACCTCGTGGTTTGAGTATGAACAGTTGATTGACGACTGGTGCGACATAACAACGCTGGATGACACCAAAAGAGGTCCGTCTCTCAAGACGAGGCTCTCCGGATTGGCCGCAGTACAAAAGGAATCACTGAACCGAGAAAGGCTTGCAGCCCCAGATGGAGTAGATTACTTCAAGAAGAAGATGCGTCCATTTTTCGTGAAAGGAGAACAGTACGTTTTCCTGTGGCGTTTCCTCGGCCTATTCAAGGCATGGAAGGGCAACCAAGACTTTGTGACTTGGATTGCTAAGTTTGAGATCGTGCTACAGCGCGTGAAAAACTCATGGATGGATCTCTTACCAGAGATAGCTCTGGAAGATGCCCATCCAGATTTCATGCAGGCTGTGCAGGCAGATCAAACCTTCTTGCGCCTACAGGATGCAACCGAGAGAGACACATACGCCGCACGTTTCTTCGAAACATGGAACAAGGAACGCCTTGATAATCATCGAAGAGCGTTTCCTCTAAATGATAATCTCCTAGCTCTTCTCTTCCTAGTGCAGTCCGACCTAAATGAGATGCAACGTGAGAGGTTGGTAACAGCATTGACCAACCAAGGTTACCGAATTGAGACCTACACGTACCCTGTGGTACGGCAGACCATGTTCGATCAGTTCTCAACGACCAGAACTGGTCTGCAGGATCCCAACATTCGGCACTCTTCTCACAAGAAGGACCGCCATGGAAGGAGAGATCAACGCCGCAAACGCGGAGGTCGAAACTTCCTCATCCTCGATCAGGGTGAATACGACGGAGTCGATGGATTCTGGCTCCAAGACGAAGACACCCTTGAGGAAGGCTTTCTTGCCGCCGAGGATGAAGAAGCTGTCTTCTGGACAGTTGACGACCATGAAGCCTTCGTTGCAAGGAGATTCAAAAAGGGAAGAAGACCAAGAATGCGTCCCGGATCACCGGGAAGAGCAAAGGGTGGCAAGCGAAAAGGACGTGGCCGTTTTAGGTCATACCGCGGAAAAGGGAGAGCCAACCAGGCAGAACATGATCCAACTGATTCCAGCTATTTCGGTAAAGGTAAAGGAAAGGAAAAAGGAAAAGGTGGAAAAGGCAAAGGAAAAGGAAAGGACAAAGGAGATAAAGGAAGCTCCTTCAAGGGTACAAAATCAAAAGGCAAAGGTAAGGATACAGCTAAGTCTGCCTCCTTACAAGGAGACCAAACTGGATCTCCACAGGCCTATGAAAGTTCCACCGCACCGAGCTGGGATTCATGGTATGAGGACAGTTATTATACTGACTCCAGTTGGAATTATGCCGCTTATGACGATCAAACGTCTTATACATACTATGCATCACAAGCCTCACGAAGAAAAACACGGAGAAAGAAGAGAAGAAATCAAGCAGGATCATCAGGTAGAGGCACAGATCCGAGCGCGCACCAAGAACCCGTGTTCAACTCATCAGTGAGTTACGTGCCCCAGGTCTCTGAACCATCCGAGGGGCAAGGTGTGGAGACTGCAACAGCAGTGTTTCCGTTGCAGCACACCGTCCTATCTGCTCTCACAGAGCGGATCAATCTTGATAAGAGCCCTACCTTTGTCATACTTGACTCAGGTTGTACTAGGGCTATGGGTTCCCGCTATGCGGTGAACAGGCTTATCAAGGCCGTGAAGCAACATGC